CAAATTACTCAAGAAAATCCAGGGAAAATTAGGCTAACTTGAAACGTTAATAACTTTTTATTTTAAATTATATTGTATGTTTTTACATAAATAGAAAATAAAAAACACTTCGATTAGTGAAATTATTCCTCATAAATAAATTGAATAATTTTAGAGATATTAAACAATTTATAATATTGTACTTAAATGTAAATGGAGGACACTTTAAATATTTAGTAATAAATAAATAATAAAAATTGTTGGTTTATTAAATTGTTACAGTTACTCATTCTTTTTGTTATTAAAATATTTCATAAAATTTACAAAACACTTAATACGCTAAAGAAGTATCGGGTTTTAGCATCGCGCGCGCCATCTGCTGGACTTGGAATGCATTGCGTGAATTTAAGAATTGTCAACAATAAATTTAAAGCACCTATTATACATCATTTTTAAATAAATAGGTAGTTTTTTTTACAAAAGAGAGTAAGGCAGAAGTCTTACTTTACAAATTTTGTTCAATTGCACAGCTAAATCGCGCACGTTATTTGTGTTTTACGTTGCAAGGAAAAAATTAAAAAACTTTTTTAGTACTCGATATCGATTGATTATTCCTTATATCATTGATTAATAAACTCAACGCTTAAATGCTTATATAGTTACGTTAGTTTGTGTATTTTATCAAAGGAATCATTGTGAATTATTGTGTTTTTAATTGTAAATAAAATTAAAGAACTAAATCGTTGCATTTTCATGTTTTGCCAAAGGATACCTACAATTTGGTAAGTACATTTGTTGGTGCAGAATTAACTAATGATAACTTTACCTAATATAATTTATATTTAAGTTTGGACATTTTTAAGAAATTAGTAAAAAATAATTTTTTTGAGTTCTCTAAAAAACGCCGACAACTGCATTTTAACAACAAAAAACAACAAAATATACTTACGTACGAATTCATGGCAACATATTATTATATATAATACATAATATAATGGTATTTTACCGTTGAGTGAAGACTTTAAAGAATTCTTAATCAACGCTTTTAATAATGCTAAATGCTGTTTAAATTTAGACGACTTATTTGTTTGACTAATTTTTACTGAATTGAAATGTTTACACTTTTCACTTTAATCACTACTAAAATGTGTTTTTATTGTATCCAATAATAAGTACAATTTATATTTACAGAGACTGTATGCAATTTATTTCTTCATTCAGATTAACACTGTTTATTGGAAAACCGGTAAAAACTCAACCCATGATTTCCTCTCGAAATTCACCCAACAACACAACAAATTGATCCACGGTTTTTTTTTCGATATTTTTTTTAACATTTTTCGGCTTTATTCTCAAAAACACTCGTTTGTAACCTAAGCGTTTGACAGCTGATTATTAAAACTTTTAATTTAAAAGTTCTTCTTTTGTTACGATGAAAGCCAAGTGGTGGCGCTACTAGCGATACTTCTTTAGCGTATAAGTCAACAAATTGTTTATAACAACCTGAAAAATTGAAATTGAAATTTTGAACAATGTCAGATTACGTGGTAACCACAGATACTGCCAACTAACCAGTCACAGGTTTCTTGATACAAAATAATATTAAAATTTTATAAATTGTTAAATATCTCTGAAATTATTAACTTTAGGTATAGGGAATATTATCGAAATGTTTTTTAATTTGCTATTTGATTAGGTAAAAACATACCGGGTGTTGTTAAAAAATGTTAAAGAATTGACATGGAAACTTTTAAACCATGTTTTAAGATTTTAAAAATTTTACCCCCATATCCGTAAACCTAATAGCAATCATCTAGAAAACTATTCACTTTAGGTATAGGACATGGTATAGTAATTTTACTCAGAATTTTATGAAGAATTTTAAATTGTAAAAATATATGGGGTGTTATAATTGAAATAACAAAGTTTATGTCACTTTCGGTCAAACCGGAAATGGCATTTTGTTCAAAATATTTAAAAAAATAGAACTTTTTTTTTAAACTTGGACTCTTACAAATTAAATTATATAGGAACAAATCTTATGACAAATACCATTAAAAAGTTTCTATATATATATATAAACTAATCGAATAAAGTTAAGCATATTAAGATATTTTGACCAAAACATAAATTTAATGATACAATTTTATACGCCCTGTATACTTTATTTTAATATTTGGTAATAAAAACGTAAAAATGAAAGAATCTTAGACAAAAAAGAACGAAGTCGAAAAAACGCATTTTAGGTAACAGTCGGTATCCAGTTTGATTTCAACTTTGTTCAAAAATATGCTTAACTTTTTTCTATCAGTTTATATATATATATATATATATATATATATATATATATATATTAGGGTGTTTCAAAAAAATCGACTTTTTCTTTTTCTTCAAATGGTCGGCAAATTCTTTCAGAGGATGTCAAAACAAAGACCTCGTTAAAATTTGAGCTTTTAATTTGAAGATTTAGAGGTCGCGGATCGCAATTTTCTATTTCCCATTTAAATAACATAGGAAATTTTTTGTTTTAACTTTGGAATTTTATACGTCTATATCGAATCAACTTATGGCAAGGGACATCTTATATTTTTATAGTAAATAGTAACTCTAAAAGAATTTGCTGACCATTTGAAGAAAAAGAAAAAGTCGATTTTTTTGAAACACCCTAAATATATATATATATATATATATATATATATATATATATATATATATATATATATATATATATATAGGAAATATATAAATATATAAATATTCTTATATATAGCAAAAATAATTTACGGACAAACGGCGCCTCATATATAATCGTTAAACTAAAAGATCAAGATTTGTTTCACAAACATAATATATTATATTTAATATAAGTTAATATTTTTTTTGTATTATGTAAAAACATAGAATATTTAAAGAAAAAAAATGTTTTATACGTAAATTATTTTTGCTATATATAAGAATATTTATATATTTTTTATATATAAACTTTAAATATAAGAATATTTTGTATAAACTTTAAATTTCCTATATATATAGAAACTTTTTAGTTCAGATAATGCCGCTTGAGAATGAGGGCGCTTTGGGGTAATCAACTAAAAAGCACTGTTGCCAGAGTGTGCCAATGCAAAGTTTTGGTTAGTGTTTCCAACATAACGTTTCGCCAGATCTGCCAGATTTTAATAAAGGTCGAGGGAAAAAAGATACTCTTACGGCTGACGGATTTTTTAACGGAAACTTGAACATAATATCGAATGGTATTTGTCATAAGATTTGTTCCTATATAATTTAATTTGTAAGAGTCCAAGTTTAAAAAAAAAGTTCTTTGTTTTTTTATAAATTGACAAGAGAAGCAAAATGTAAGAAATTTTAGTTTTTTTAAATACCTATTAGTAAAAACGAAGCAGTGTTTATTTAGATAAATAGAGACGGCCAAAGAAGAGAAATGTTTTCTTCAATAAAAATAGACCAACCGACCAATATATTACCTATAAGTATTTAAAAAAACTAAAATCCTATACTTTTTGCTATCATTTTGTTCCGCTAGATCTGGCCGAAGATCCGTTATGTTGGAAACACTGACCAAAACTTTGCATTGGCACACTTTGGCAACAGTGCTTTTTAGTTGAATTCCACAAAGCGCCCTCATTCTCAAGCGGCATTATCTGAACTAAAAAGTTTCTATATATATAGGAAATTTAAAGTTTATATAAAAAATATTCTTATATATAGCAAAAATAATTTACGGAGAAACGGCGCCTCATAGAACTACATCAGTATTTATATGAAGTCTTTCTATATAGACTTATAGTGTTATAATATAAAAACTATTGTACGCTTAAAAAAAGTACAAATATTAAGCTGACATTGACGTTGACTTATTTGCATATTAAGTGGATATTGTTTAGCGCATCAATGGTTCCTGTTTTATTTTCTCCAGCAAAACATTTCTATAGAAATGTTATATATAAATATTATTTTAATTGTTCTAATACCTAATACCTAATTAACTATAACTTATAATATTAATTTTTTACTTTTGAGAATTAAAATATTTGTAAATATTTATTATAAATTCATAATTGGCTACATGAGTAAAACAAATTAATTTAGTGGGGAAAGTTTATTAATTGCCTCGCACACAATCTACTGCCCAGGTTATCGCCTCGGTAGTGAAATGTATGCTAGGCGATAAAATGTTCTTTCTCCCCCTGGTCTATAATGTACTATTTTTTCAAGCGTACAAAAAATTTTATATCATAAAACTCATAAGTCTATATAGAAAGACTTTATATTCATACTAGTTCAAAGACAAAATATTATTAAACTTCGTACAGAAATAAAGCTAAAATGTCATCATGTCAGTTGAACCTAACCTAAATATGATGTGATCATTTAATTAAATTCTTATAAAAAATAGTTTATAAAACCCGGAGGCGAAAGCTTATTAATTGCCTAGCACAATCTACTGCCTAGGTTATCGCCTCGGCAGTGAAATGTATGCTCGGCGATAAAATGTTCTTTCTTCGCCTGGTCTATAATGTTATATGCTATTTGAAATCATACAATTTCTAATAAAACCTCACGGGTTACTTTGTCAACAGCAATGGTGATATTTTTTACATCAATGAGTTGTGCAGTATAGTAATTACTATACTGTGCTTAAGCAATATTCTGCATTAAATATTATTTTTAATATTTTATTGAGTGGATCACTGTTCTCCGTTGTTTTTATTTTCTCTATGTAAAATTTGTAAAATCGGATGATAATATTAACATATTATAGTACTCCACAGGTCTGTGTAGTACACCGTCATTACAAGAATATTGCTGTTTAACATTTTTTAAATTAAATGCCATCAAAATCCAATTAGTGTGAAAATATTACCCTGTGGCACCACATGGAAATGGGTAGGTCTTGTGCCGCAGGGGGTGGCCAATCATTAAGCCAGTGGTGCGCACCCCAGTACCAAGGGTGGTGGGGCTCATATATACTCTTTTGGTCCATAAAACTACGTCAGTTGTAAGAGCAGTGTTAGTGAGTGAAGTTTGTTATTAGCTGTAAGCAGGTGGACTGTGCAGCGTGCAGACATGCGCGCATTCGCTCAGGTAGGACGAAAGCATATTTTTTTAATTTGATTTCAAGATAAACACGTGCGACTTAAGATTATATTTTTAAAATGGTTAAAACCATATTTTTGAAATTTGAATGCAAAATTAAAACAAAACAATTGTATATCTTTATAAATTATATTATAATTAAATATGTAATTATGTAATAAGTTTGTTTCCGCAAAATTATTACGCTAATAAAGTAATTGACAAATTGATGTTATAAATTAAAAGCTGCTGCAACATTCTTAGCAACTTGTCGGCAATTGATAAAACTACACAGGATATTTATCTTAATGATGACTGTAGCAAAAGATAAAGATACAAATTATTTAAAATTGTAATTTTATTTATTTTGATTTAATTAAGAAATCGTGCTTTACTCCATCAAATCTATTATTTGTGATATGTGAAAACAGTACTTACTAAAATAAAATGTTGCTATTTATTTATTTATTAGGTGTTAATTCAACTTAAATTATAAAAGAGTTGTATCTTTTTATTCTAATACTAGAACTTTTAAAAACTTCTACTCCAATAGCTTAAAATTTAGGTATTTCAAATTTGGTTTGATGTTTATGTTTATTTTAAAATGCTGATCTTTTGATCATTTATAAATTAAATATAACTTTTATGAGATTTTGTTTAACTTAGAAACTGCATGGGTATAAAATAAAAAAGTATACCTATAGGTACTCAAAAGTAAAAAGCAAATTTTCTATATTTATATATAAAAGGGTTTTTCTATAGGACATGGAAACCATGGTTTGTCAACATTTTTATAAAGCTTAAATCTCACAATTTGCTAAATTTGTTTTTTATATAAACTCCACTTTTACACAGTTAAAATGAAAGTCTGTATCTAATACAAATAAAATAAAACGTGGAGAAGTTAAGGTGCCAAAACTGGATTTAAAGTACAAACTCCAAATAGTCTCTTATTGGTCGAACAATGTCAAGAATTTAAAAATTGGGACGTTTGAAAAGAAAAAAACTTGTTCAATAGTGGTAGTACGCACGGGTACGCATTGCGTTGTTGCGATAGAACGGAAGTACCGGCTCAAGAAGAAGTCTAAGCAAGAGAGCGAGCGGGACCGGTAAGGAGTGTCGGCATCGCTTTGTATCAGTAATGAGGGACCGCGGCGAGACCTGTCGCGCTAATTGCAAGATCAAAAGCAGCGCCACAATGCCAATGCGCGCGGCCACGGGTAACAAGCCTATGCAGTTTATGCGCGCTTTCTCTCTCTCTTTCTTTCTCTTTCAAGATATATAAGCACTATTCTTTAAATTTAAAGCAAATCTTAATCTATAACTGAGTATAGGGCTGCCAGACCTCCCGATTTGGGCGGGAGTCTCCCGATTTTACAGCAAGCCTCCCGATTTTTAAAAGACGTCTTAAAGCTCCCGACTTTCTTGAAAACCTCCCTTAAGTCCCGGTTTTTGGCAAGCTTCATCAAGTTCCGAGTCAAGTTCCTTTAATCCACCTTATTTTATTCAATTTTTTTTATAAAGTTGTTAATAGTGTGCTAGCATAGCCTATGCTGCATAGGTATTCAAATATATTTGTATTACAAATACCACAATGTGACAAATACCTATGCCAGAGCACTCTATTGAAAAATTTGTAACTTCGTACTGTAGAAAACATTTTTACGTTTACCTTATTTCCGCCAGGGTGCGGTACTAGAAAAAGAATTTTTTTAACCTCCCGCATTTTAATTTTGAAAATCTGGCAGCCCTAACTGAGTAGCGACCGTGCAAATATGCCCTTAGGATCAATAAACTATCTATCTATCTATCTAAACCGTCCCAAATCCACTACTGGTCATTTTTGACTTGGGCATCTCCACAATTAGGGTACGATTTTATCCAAATACCGCTTATTACCATTGAAAATTTGGAGTTGCAATATTTTTTAAATTTGTTCAGGATCTTGCTCCACAACTATAAAACCAAGTCGTCCCGAATTAAAATATGTACCGTTTGACGTACGAGGTGTGTTCAGAAAATATCGGGAATTTTCGTTTTTTGATAGAAATATTTATTTTTTCGTCTACATTAATGTTGTCGCCTTCAAAATAGTCCCCATTGGATATTATGCACACGTGCCACCTCTTCTTCCAATACTCGAAACACTTCTAAAACTCGATCTTTGGGATAGCCATGCGCTTTTAATATCATCTATGCTTGCAAAACGACGGCCCTTTAAGGTTCTCTTTATTTTTGGGAATAGGAAAAAGTCAGACAGAGGCATGTCCGGCGAATATGGATGCTGGGGCATCATTACAGTTGTTTTTGGCCAATTTTTTTTTCAAAATTTAACAATTTTAGAACAAATTTTTCTGCCACGCGTTTCATACCCAAAACATTCTAAAAAATTTCATGGGATAAGCCAATCGATATACCAACATCATCAGCGACTTTTATGATGGTTTATAACCATTTCTTAAACTTTTTCAATGTTTTTATCGGTTGTTAATGTGCTTGTGCGTTCGGGGCGTTCGTCATCTTCAACGTCTTCACGGCCATCTTGGAAACTCTTATACCACTTGTAAACTCTTGTTTTACTTATAGCAGACTCACTATAGGCCTTTGTTAACATTTCACAGAATTTATTTCATTTTTTAAGCAAAATTGTATACAAATTCTTTGATCCATTTCTTTTAACGAACGAAAAATCGCCTAGCTCATAAAACACGTCTAACCTTAGCGGCTGCCACAGACAAAGTAAACAATGAAATCAGCTAAAGTTTTTATCATACTTCGGGGGCATGTATACCAACATAATAAAGAAAATTTTATGACAACCGGACCCTCCGAACCCGCGTAATTTAACAATTCCCGTTATTTTCTGAACACACCTAGTATCGTAACCAAATTTGCACACGTATTCTCTGGGCTAATTAAAATGTTTTATTTCATCTCTAGATGGGTAAATTAAGACATTTTAAAATTTAGTTAATCCCGGCGCATTCGCCACTTTTGACAGTATTTATTCACACCCCCTAAAGTCGGTTTCATATAGGTAGATGCGAAATGCAAATTGCAAAATACGAATATTCGCATTTCATATCTATAGATGCGAACTATTTAAGGGACATTGTTTTCTCACTAGGTGATATTTGCCATGCTATTTTAGGGACTAAAAGTTACCTAAAGTGACTTTAAAGGTAAAATAAGAAACATTTAAACTCTTTGTCCATACAAAAAAAAAACAAAAAAACTTCAAACACTTATTTAAACAAAACTCCCGCCCCCTAGATTCAAATCTTGTGAATTCGCAGGGTCTTTCGAAAAGCTTTTCCCGCCAAATCAAATGGACCATGGGAGCATTTTTCGCAATTCGCATTTCGCATCTATATGAAACGGGCTTTAGGTGTAGCTATGACCGCGGGTAGAGCATGCGGGTTTAAGTTATACTTATAATAATATAATTCAGTATGCCAAAAAATCTAGAATAAATGTTGATTTTCTTCTTAAATTAGTTTATATTTATGAATATCTAATGCAATAAAATTTAGTTTTTTTGGGTCAATGTTCTTTTCCTCTTTCTTTAGTCTAACTTACTTAACATTATTTTTTTTGAATTTAAATGCATTAAAAATAATTGTTTAGCCCCAGGAAATAAATTAAATGTTTGCTATATAAACTTTTTTTATTTAATACGTAGTAAAAATATAATTATAAATTTCAAACCAAATTCCTGCCAAAAATTTTAATTATGTAGTGAATATTAAGAATAGTAAGAATATTGCATCTATTGTTACAAATAAATTATTTTGAGGATAAAAATCTTTTAACAAAGATTCGGAATGAGAAACATCAGCAAAATATACTTACTAGGTACCTACTTTGACAAAATATTTAATTTTTAAGCGAAATTTCAAATATTTTAATTGTTAATTATTAATAACCCAGCGAGCAGTAGCGTCCAGTATAGGGGCCAGGAGGCGATCCAGGCCACCCTGTGTAACAACTTTAACCGGCCGATTTGATGATTTTCCATCCCTTTTACAAAGTTTGTAAATTTGTAAAACTATAAATGTCTGATCTTTATAGTATATTATTTTATTTAGTATTTTATACACGAATTTAATTTAGGCTTAAATTAATGAGTGTATAGAAAAGTTTTTAAACGAGGTGCATACTATACTTTTTCTACTACAAATATTAACATTATTATCTTAAAATGATTAAAATCAAAAATTTGTATAGAGCGCCATCTATGAAACAATAGGGGAATCTGTGTGTCACCGTCAAATGTCAAATTTTTATATTTTATAAACACAGATTATAAAGGTTATAAATCTAAATGTATTTCTTGAAAATTGACAGTTTTTCACATTGAAAGTAAAGAAAATGTTTTATGAGCCCTTTACGTGCCCGAATTTAAGTTCAAGTTTACTGCCGCTGAAATTAAAAGGTCAGTACAATGTTCATATAAACTTTTCAAATATTGGCGTTGAGAAACTATTTAATACTTTTGTATTTTTGTATAGAGATAATAAAATAATTTTCACATTTAGAATTATTTTAAAAGAAAGGCACTTTATTTTGACGATTGTATGACATTTGACAACTGTCAACTAACTTAAAACTAACTTCAGCCCGTGACTAAAGCGCCATAAAGCCACAACTTGTCAATGTGTATTTAAAAGGTCACTTAGTGTCATGGAAACATGTACGATAAAGGGCGTTTTAAAGGTGGGAGGAGAAAAAATATTTTATAGTAACTTCTTTTATAAGAAATATAAAATGTTTTGTGGGTTAAGGTGAATTCAAAACGATAACAATAATTATTGTCTTTTATTGGAAGAATATTTAACATTTTTAATTTCGAATAGTTTAGTTTCTTCAAATACATTGCCAAATAATATCGTAGGGGCGGAAAGGACTATATCAGACTATGTAATAGTTATTTATGACATTAGGACAAAAAGTAATAAAATATCAAATATAATTAGCTTTCAATTTATTGCGGTAGTTGAATAAAATAT